AAAATATGGGTAGGTGTGGAAGGTAGTATGGGCCCGTACTACTGAAATCACAGGACCCATACGCGTGTCAAGTAAGTCACAATCCCTAGGGTTAGTAGGGAGTTGGCTCCCAGTTATTTATATGGATTATCTAATATCTTGTGGTATGTTTCAGAATGGTGATGATGAGACGCTTTGTGGCTGGATCCGGTTCGGGATCAGGATCAGGGGACAGAGGCCAGGAGGGGCCAACAGCACCTGAGCCGGTGGTGCAGATGGGTACAGAGGAGTTGGATGCCAGGATTCGAGAGATCCTGCATGATGAGGTTGCTGCTGCGTTCCGGGCACAGTTGTCGGAGATGTTCAGGTCGATTAAGACCGCCATGGTGGAGTACTTTGATGAGCGCTACGCAGCCCTTGCAGAGACAGCTGCCGCAGCAGCTGCATCATCTATATCCGCGGCATGGGGAGGAGTTGGTAGGGGCTTTCAGTACAGGGACTTCGATGACACAAAGCCCCCTACTTTTGATGGGACGCAGGATCCCATCAAGGCTATAAGGTGGATTTCAGATGTGGAGGGGTGTTTCTTCACCTGCTCGTGTCCTACTGACCAGAAAGTCAGGTGTGCTCTGAACCTGCTAAGGTCCGGGGCCAAGGACTAGTGGAGACTTGCGACTGGGTCGTACACTGATGATCAGAGAGCTGCTGTTACTTGGGAGCAGTTCAGGGACATGTTCCGCGCCCGTTACATTCCGCGGGTTGAGCAGGAATGTTTGGCACATGAGTTTCTGAGTTTGAGACAGGATGGGGAGTCGGTGACGGAGATCACCCGTATGTTCACTGAGAGGGCGATGTTTTGCCCGGAGTTTGCTTCCGAGCAGGCTCAGATGACCCCGTTATCTGAGCATGCTCAAGACGAATATCCGTCAGTTTGTGTCTACCCAACGATGTGATACTCTTCTAGAGTTGCAGGAGGCCGCCAGACGGCGTGAGTTGGAGATTGAGCTGCAGTTGAGAGAGCAGTGGCAGGCCCCGGCACAGTCTCAGCCGGAGCCGCAGCGGTCTAAGACCGCTGATACTAGGATCGGAGGTCAGCAGAGCCGCACTTGTGGGAAGTGTGGCAAGGGTCATTCTTGTGTAGTCGCGCTGGTAGTGGGGTGCCACAGGTGTGGCAAGGAAGGGCATTACGCGAAGGACTGTCGCCAGGCAGTCCCAATTCAGGGCATGAGGTTATGTTATCACTGCGATCAGGTTGGCCACGTTAAGGCCAACTGTCCATTGCTAGCCGCCAAACCGACGCATACTCCAGCGCCGACTACCTTGAGGATCACGGATGGGAGACTAGTCAGGGCAGAGCCTCCGAAGGCTTAGGGTCGTGCCTTCCAGCTTATAGCCGAGGAGGTCAGGGCAGCACCGGATGTGGTTGCTGGTATGTTTCTATCCTTACTCCCATTGGTTATATATGTTGTATGCTTATCCGTTATACTTGTGATTAGGTACTGATGCGACATCGACCTCCGATGAGTCTTCTGGTCTCTGCTGCGGAGGAGATCTGGACATCACAGTGCAAAATCGTTAGAGCCTCCCCAGGGACTGTGCCCCCGGGAGCGGGCTCCGACGGTCAAGTTAGATCATCTGGTAGATCTGAGATGGTCCTCCATAGCTGGAGAGAACCATCTTGGTGTTGGTGGTGTATGGTGGCTGACGGCGGCGGGTGGCGCTGGTGGTGTATAGTGTGGCGGCTTAGCTAAAGGGGAAGAGTCCTCAGGGAAAGGTCCTAGGGAAAAGGGGTCCCCCCTCCATGGAGGAGCCACTATTCTATTTATAGTGGACAATTAGGTCAAGGGGAATTGGGTCAGGCCTTGGGCCAGCCCAATTCAGGCCCAACTAGCAAGGAGCTGGGCAAGGCCGCCCGGAGGCGCCGGGAAGGGCTGGCGGGCGCGCCCCAAGCAAGGCTGGCGGGCACGCACCAGGAAAGGCTGGCAGGAGAGCGCCAGGCCGGGCCGGCAGAAGAGTCCCCAGCAAGGCTGGCAAGGGAATGCCAGGCAAGGCTGGCAGGAGCGTCCCAGGCCAGGCTGGCGTGCTAGAGCAGTCTACGCCATGCTAATGGACCATATATCATCAAGTCCCCCCAGTCTGGTGTTATTGGTACGCGGCCAATGACATCGGACTGGACTTAGTCATATAAACTGTGCATCGTCAATTCCCCCTAGTCTGATGCGATTGGGTTGCTGACAATCGGATCGGACTAGATAAAGCACCAATACATTAGATAATAAAGAGGATGACCGAACCTCGCCCACGAGAGTCATGGGGTTGTGCGATGAGCCATACATTGTCTATGCGGCTTGATCTGACTTGATACTCCTTCATTGAGAGGAGTGAAAGGCTGCTAAAGAGTGTTACACGACACTGATGTCGATGGAATGTCGGACCGGGGTAGCTAGGAAGCGTAACCTCGCCATGCAATCACTGAGACTGTTATTCGGCACAGATGTTGTTGTAGTTACGCGCAAATGGAATGTCACCGATAACCATCTACATAGTCTGCATTAATAACCGTCTTGGAGGTATTTCTTGCTTGGGCTACACCTAGCTGGATTCCCCCCAGTCTGATGTGGGTAGTGTAGGTGGCCGCATCAAACTATGTTGTCGAACCAATAAACCGTAAGGTTGCTGACCATAATATAAGTGGCAGAGATTCTGAGAGCTGGGCGATTAGCTTGCTAGCGAGGGTCACGTAGTGAGACTATTGTCGATAGCCAGACAACAGAATTCTTGAGGAACAGGCAGTGAGGCTATAGGTAGGAAATATGCAGTGAGACTGTTGCCGAGAGCCTGGCAACAAAGGTGCTAAGGGATACGCGGTGAGGCCAGAGGTTTGGGTTGCACAGCCAGACCATTTCCGAGGGCCAGGCAACGGTGATGCTGAGGGATACGCAGCGAGGCTACAGCTGGGGTTACGCAGCAAGACCGTTTCCGAGAGCCAGGAAACAGAGATGATGTGGGGTGCGTGGCGAGGCTACAGGTAAGGTTGCATAGCAAGACCGTTTCCGAGAGCCAGGAAACAGAGATGCTGAAAGGTAGTAGGTAGCAGGGCTATTGTCGGGATGACCTTCTTACTGGAGAGTAACCTCACTATAGCAGGTTGTAATGTGGATAACACTTCATCGATCGTTAGAGCACCAGAGAACCATGATGAATGTGAAAGAGGAAGCACCGAGATCATGGTGTTAGTCGCGGAATAAGCTTGTGATGCGCGACTTATGGTGCGCGACGATGCGCGACTTAGGAGAATATCTAGGGCTTAGCAGCCGACTATCATGGAGATGTTACGCGGGAGAGCATCGCGCAGAATGGATCAGGCTTGGCTGCCAGTGATCGTAGATACATCACACGGGAGGGTATCGCGTGGAATGGATCGGGCTTGGCTGCCAGCGATCGTAAGTACATCACGCGGGAAAGCATCGCGTGGATTCATATAGGCAAATGTTGCAAGACTCATCACGGAGTATGTTGTTGTAGTGGAGGCGGGATGGGGAGCCAGGTGACTCGAGGCGAGGGTACTGAACCTCGCATGCGGAGCTTGCCGCTGTAATGGAGTCGGGCTGAGAAGCCAGGCGACTCGAGGCAAGGGTACTTAACCTCGCATACGGAGCTTGCCACTATAATGGAGTCAGGCTGAGGAGCCAGGCAACTCGAGGCGAGGGTACTGAACCTCGCATGCGGAGCTTGCCGCTGTAATGGAGTCGGGCTGAGAAGCCAGACGACTCGAGGCGAGGGTACTTAACCTCGCATGCGGAGCTTGCCGCTATAATGGAGTCAGGCTGAGGAGCCAGGCAACTCGAGGCGAGGGTACTGAACCTCGCATGCGGAGCTTGCCGCTGTAATGGAGTCGGGCTGAGAAGCCAGACGACTCGAGGCGAGGGTACTGAACCTCGCATGCGGAGCTTGCCGCTATAATGGAGTCGGGCTGAGAAGCCAGGCGACTCGAGGCGAGGGTACCGAACTCGCACGCGGAGCTTGCCGCTAAATGGTAGGGGAGTGAGAAGCAGACGACTCAAGGCGAGGATACTGAACCTCGCACGCAGAGCTTGCCTCTATAATGGAGTCGGGCTGAGAAGCCAGGCGACTCGAGGCGAGGGTACCGAACCTCGCACGATTGGGCGTAGCACCCTACAATATATGTGTCTAGATCGTGTGATCAGTCTGGGTTAAGGCGGAATGGTACCTGATGCTTTGCTGCATCGGTAGTCGTACTAATAATTGATGCCTCGGTGCCTTGACTGTTTGCGGAGAGCTATGTGGCAGTGCTACTTAGAGCTTGATAGTGTAGCTGCTATTAGGAGGTGCGTAGCGCAAGTGCTGTCAGGAACTGGTCAGCAGGGCCGTTGAGGCCCGGGCAGCGAGCTGCTAGTGATAGGTGAGTAAGACGACTATTGAGAATTAGGCAACAAGACTACCGAGAGTTGGACCACGAAGCTACTCTTTCGATCCGGAATACCAATGTCACCTCGGGGATGCACCATCATGCATAGTGTCAGTTCTTCATGTACTTTAAATCTTCCTTTTGGGAATAAAAATCACTTCTTCATAGTGTCGTAGCAACCCCCCCCCCCCACCCCCCTTTTTTTTAGAGGAGGCGAAGAAGGGGAAAGATTGATGTATAGCCGCTGAAAGCTGAGATACATAGCTGTCGGAAAGAGCTAGGCGACCCAAGTACTAACAAAAACTGGGTAGCACGGCTGACGAGAGCTGAGCGGCACGGCTGCTGGGAGTCAGACAGCGTAACTGCTGGTGATTGGGCTTTGCAGCTGTTGAGCTGGGTCGCATGGCTGGTGAGGTTCGGGCTGCCCTACTGCTGGGATCTAGGTGGCGCGAGTTCTGAGAGCTGAGCAGCAAGACTAGCGGGGGCCGGTCAACACGAATGGTGAGAGCTGAGTAGCAAGACTTCCTGAAGTAGGTCGACATGGCTGCTGATTGCCGAGCAACACAATTGTTGAGGGTTATTTCAGAATGTTTCACAAGTAGTAGTGATGTACTACTCTTCTCCCTCCTTTTTTTTTTTGAAACGCCGAGCGAACCACAATTTATATATATCATCATTTTTTTTTTGACTTTGTTGGACCGTCTTGCAACACGTGATCATTAGCTTTTGATTTTTATCATGCTAGAATGGGCCCAATAAGATGAAAAATTGATGTAGAGAAGCCCACATTGCTAAAATGAATTCAAGAGGCCTTTTGGAAGTGACTAACCTAATTCCCTTTCTCCTTTTTTTTAGGAAAATGTTGAGTGGTCCGAGTTGTTACGCATTTTCTAGACTCAGGCTTGTTGGGCGAAATCACAAAACTTGAGTATTGACTGATGGGCTAATTTATTCTTGCAAAATTTTGGGCCATTTTAATTGTTTTCTTGGTAGTCCAGATACCAATATATGAGAAGCCCAACCGAATGTTATAGCCCAAATACAATAAATACAACCCATTTTCTAGAGGAAGCCCAATTGTTATTTGTTTGAATGTATTAGGGTTTGGCACCCACCGACCCATCTATGCTTCCATCGGCTTTGGGGAGCTACAGTCGACATCCCATTTTTCGATCTGTCAAAAGGGGCGCCAAAAGGAAAAACCGGTGATTGGATATCTCGCTTTGAGGGCTTTCGTGATTCCTAGACATCTCGCCGGTAACGATGGCAATCAGCGCTGAAGTCTCTACTGAGGGTGTTTCCTGTTGATGGGTGTCGACAAGCTGTGAGTTTGCAGGCGGTGCCGATCAGTTGCGCACTTGTTGGAGGTCAAACGGCAAGGTCGATGGTGGGTGGTGCTGACAGCGACAAGCTGGAGACAACCGGTGGTTGCAGGTTGATCGATGATGGACTAGTTATGACCGCCAATGAATTCGATCCGGAGATTACTGTCGGTGGGGGAGGCGGCAGTCGATATTGGAGCTGTTGTCTCCGGTTGCCACCGTGGTGAGGGATTAGCAAGCTGCGGTCGATAGTGTTTTGGGTCAAGTCGCTATGGTGGCAGACCTCTGACGGTGACGATGGCAACCACATTCGGTGATGGACTGATTTGCTACAGAATTGTCGATTGAGTCGGACGGTTGAGCCAGCAATATGATTGCCGGCCAACGGCTACTTTTGGGTTGTTGGCGATCAACTGGCGGTGATGCAGCTCCGGTTGGCGGCGACTGATCGGTAAATAGACTGTGGTGGCTTGTTCTGCTCGTCGGAATTCAAACGAATGGTGGACGGGTTCCAAATTCTGATGGTCGGAGGAGGTGGTGACCAAAGTAGGCCCCACCTATTGACATCTCTGCAGCTATTGGTCCTTCATATGTGTGAGACCCATCGAAATGCAACATGTATCACGTGGGTCCAACCACTTTCCCCCCCCCCCTTTTCCAGATGAAAAGAAGTCACCATTCTTGAACGTTGTATATACATTTTTTACATCTTTTTTGCTGATTACTTTCTTGTATCAGGCCTCTACACCCCCTCTTTTTTTTCGTGTATCGGCTCATGTGACAGCAAACAAAATTTATATTTCCCCTGTCTCTTCTCTTTTTACAGATCAGTTCTTTTTATAGAACTTCTTTCCACCTTTTTTTTGACTGATGGGATGGACTGTAACTAATGTTTAAGGTAAATATAATGGGATAAATTTTGGTAAAAGACAAGCACTATTCGATTTTTGATGGTCTTGTAAAATGTACAAGTAACACATCAGTATGTACAAATAAATATTTTGGGAATGAAGCTGTATACTGAAAAAATTCAATATGTGAAGATTTTTTGGAAATGAGATGGGGTAAAATCTTACGGGATTTTTTTTTTCAAGCTATTCAATGAAACACCAAAATATGATTGAAGATTTGGTAAAAACTCATAAAACCCTTCTTCTTTTTTCTTCTCTAAGCTTTTAAACATCTTGAATGTACAGAAAATCATAAACTACATGAGATTTTCTAAAAATATATGAACTAAGCTGGGGTAACAACCCATAAAAACTTCTTTTCTTTTCCATTTCATTAAAAAAAAACCCCAAGATATAGACAAAAACGAAATTTGATGAGATTTTCTTCTCATAAAGCTTTCTTTTCCCTTCAGCTTGATTAAAAAGCCATTAAAATATGAAAAAGAAAACAGATCTGATAAATTTTCGTTTTCTTTTTCTGAACCTCAAAAGGAAACACCAAATAAACAACTTGAATGAAGTTGTACACATAAAATTGTAAACTGATGGTGATTTCTTTGATAAAAATAACTGGGGATAAGGTGAATAACCACAAAAATTTCTCTTCTTCTCAAATTGTTTGATAAAACATAAATGTAAATAAAGATGGGTTAAGAACTCAAGAGAGCCTCTTTTCTCCCACTTTCTGAAAAACCCCTCAAAATATAGACGAAAATCAGATCTGTTAAAGTCTTTTAAAACTTGAGAGTTGCTCAAATGAACTGAAACTAAACATCTAGATATATGAGCAAAAATAAAATAAAATAAAATAAGGTAGATCTGAGGATCTGAGTGAGAAAAACTCAACAGATCTGAAAGATTGTGAAGCAAATATGTGTAAGAACTCATAAAACTCTTTTGTTTTCTTTTAAACTTGCTCAACAAACCATCAAAACATACCAAGAAACAGATCTGAAGAAATTTCGCTTTCTTTTTCTAGACTTCTAAAGAGAGAAACAAAAATATGAACAAAGGCGGGATAAGAACTTGAATTTTTTTTTTCGAAATGTACAAACATCTTAGCTGTGCTTACAAACAGCTGATGCAAGTGGTAAAGTTGTTCATAGAAAATCTTAACTAAAAACGATTTTCTGATAATATATGGGCTGAAAATGAGATAAAAACTCATAAAAAATTCTTTTCTTTTAAGCTTACTGAGAAAACCCCCAAAATATAAACAAAAACGGATCTAACAAGGTTTTCTCCTCACTAAACCTTCTCTACTCTTCAGCTTGCTCAACAGATCTGAAAATCTTTTGTTTTCCATCTCTAAGCTTCTAGAAGAAGCACCAAATAAACAACTTAAATGAAGTTGTACATTAGAAATCAGGAACCAAAACCGATTTTCTTGAAAATGAGCAAGCAAGAGAGGTAAAGACTTGTAAAATATTTCTTTGTTCTTCAACTTTCTAAATAAAATTCGAAAATATTAACAAAATGGGGAAAAACTCATAGAGATCTCTTTTCTCCCCAACTTTCTGAATAATCCATCAAAATATAGATGAAAATGAGATCTGATAAAGTCCTTTAAGACTTGAGAGTTGCTCAGATAACTAAAACAAAAACATATCTAGACATCTGAGCAAAAAAACAAGGCAGATCTGAAGATCTAAGAGAGAAAACTCAAACAAATCAAAAGATCTGAGCGAAAAAACAAGCAAATCAAAAGATATGTGCATAAAACTAAGCAGATCAAGAGATCTGAACGATGGTTAGACGGATCTGAAAAGATCTTGTCAAGAACCAAATCGATTTGAACAGATCTTGGCCAAAGCCAAACGGATCTGAACTAATGGCGCTAGAAATGAACAGATCTGAGGAAAACCTTAGCTGAAACGACAGATCTGAGCAGATCTAGACAAGAACGAGATGATTTCTGCTCGTTCGAGTCCGGAATGGCGCCAAATGATGCGACATCGACCTTCGGCGAGTCTTTTGGTCTTTTGCTGCGGCGGAGATCTGGACATCACACTGAAAAGTCGTTAGAGCCGCCCCTGGGACTGTGCCCCGGGAGCGGCTCCGACGGTCAATTTAGATCATCTGGTAGATCTGAGATGGTCCTCGACAGCTGGAGAGAACCATCTTAGTGCTGGTGGTGTATGGTGGCTGACGGCGGCGGGTGGCGGCTGAGCCACCCAGCCGGAGTATAGTGTGGAGGCTGAGCCAAGTGGGAAGAGTCCTCAGGGAAAGATCCTAGGGAAAAG